TGATTTCCTTGCTCTAGTCCTCCGTAGAGGACTGTGTCTGTAACCCGCGTCGCCACGGAAATTTCGTGACCCCCTTTAAATGTCATTAGTAGAAATAATTTTCCAGATTATTGAAGAAGTAGAAAACATGGCCTACCTTCGGTCTTGGAAACAAATGGGAAATATAGAGGGGACATTCGATCAGCACTTCTTCGGATTGCTCGAATGGAAAGTGCGTTAATGAGTTCACATAGAGTGGAGCAAAGGAAAGTTCTAAAAGCGAACGTGCATGCATGCTATTTACTAATCAGGAGATGAACACTCGAAAACGCAAATGAAACAGTATTTTGGCACAGGATCTGCATCTTGCAAACATTGAGAGAAGTGTTTAAATTATTAGTTTAAATATTCAGGAGGTATTTTGCACTTTCAAATGGAGCAATACGCAATTCAAGGTAAAGTCCTACACAGTAGTGAGCTGGTTGTATTGGAGCTTCATTATAAGCCCCTATGTAATTTAGCTTCACAAACGTTCCTACTCAAATGACATTTCTTTTATTTTCCGAGTACATCAGACGAAGGAATTCATGATTATTCATCGAAAACTTTTTCAGGAGATTCATTTCAGGCACTTGCTATAAAAACAATTAAGTTTTATTAAAATGCTGTAGTTAAGTGTCGATAGAATTCGGTGCCAACTGATGGTCGCAGTCTGCTATATCATTTAAATATAATCTTGAGATTTTTTACAATCAAATATTTACAGTATTAGTGTAGTGGACAAATGCCAAATTCAGCAACAGAAGCCCCCGCGCACTGACGTATGGCAGAATGCAGTTGTGGCGCATAGGGCAATAGTAGGATTCCTCAAGCATATCACGTGGATCAATGCGTTTTGGAATACGTTTTCGTAGAAATCATGAGGCCTCTGTTAATTAATCCGTACTCGCTTAAGTAGATTTTAGAGACCTTGTCCACGAAATATCGTCTTGAACGACTCTCAGAATTTATCAAAATTTTAGCGGTCAAATCCAACAAGCAAAGATGCCCACTGTCTTGCAAGTGAGCGTGTGGCTTGCATAATTCTGCCATCAAATTCGTAAAATTTGACGATTGGTATGGTGCTTCTGTTTATAATTGTGTAGCAGGCAATCTGGCGTGAATTTGGTATACAGAATATGCACAGACGACTTAAACATCTGACACCTAACTGTCGACAAACGCATGTCGACGAAGAAAAAGGGAAGTGCGTGGACTACATAACTACGGTCCAATTGAGAATAAAATATTGCTGTACTCTTCAGGAACAGAATGCCTAAGAAGCCTACTTTTAGGCTGCATAAAACTGTCCACTTGCAAGCAAGAATCAACCGAGATGCATAAACCATTGACTCTATGTCTGAGTAAGTTTAAATGCACTGCAGCAATTATAATATAGCAATTTCCTGTCTGAATTGTGCATGGTTTTCAGTTCTCTCATGAATCGTGGATGCACGAATTTACCTGGTACTGGAAGCCTGTATAACCAGTGAAATACAATCACAACATCCTGCGGCCTCTTCCCATGCACAGACACCCAGTTTTCAGTGGTTTTGGGATCGCTGTCGAAGTAAAAATTCCAGACTCCCTTTACTTTATCTGCAATTGAAATAAGCGGCTTGAATATACCATTTAATTTAAACACTGCATGACACTGCTTTGCATTCAACTAACCTTCTTTTATTTGGTAGTTAGTTGTCGAACCGGTTGCGCGACATTTTCCGTTGGAACATTTGTATGTCACTAGAGATCTGACTGTCTAGGATATAGAAGGGAATGCATAGGTGATTCAAAATCAATCAATAAGTCGTCCACGGCATGCATGCATGCATATGGGTAGTTTGCCTGAGATATTTTTTCGTGCGTGTTGCATGCAAATGATGTGTCATGTACTTAATTTCGACGAGCTTGAAACCTTTTAGACCATTATGTTGACTGGTGTAGGTTGTAAGCTATATTCGAGCTAGAGAAGAGTACGTTTTGTAAATCAAACTGCACTGCAGATCTGGAAAACTTACCTCGGGTTCGAACCAAGTTTTGAACCAAATTCTATTTTCGGAACGTAGGCCGTATAATCCTCTGTAATCGCCACCTAAAGGCATAAGTGAAAGCGATTGGCTCGCAGTGCATAGTTTTAAATTATTTCTGTAGAATGTTCTTGAAAAATTCACGAGAGACTACATATCATTTGGTTTTCGCTGAGCACAATTTATTATTTTTAATTTAAGCGGTGGGAGATTTTTTCCTTAGTGACTATGGCATTTCCATTCCTTCCACACACTTAAGGGATTGATTAGCCTCTTGGATATATGAAACGGCCAATTTTAAAACGAAAACATCTGAATTACCTCGCTCCGGGAATTCGACATACTTCGAAAGATAGGAAGGGCCTTCCGGACCCTCTACGCTACATAGAATGTTGTATACCGACTTTCGGGTATCATGGGGTCTGTAGATAGTGTAGGATGATGTAAAGATATTCTTCCGTCTGTTGAGGTGATTGTTGCCTGAAAGCGCAAAACACGGTAATGAAATGTGCGATTGTGCAAAGATACCACAACTGACCGTTCACTTACATGGCCGCCTTACACTTCCATCGGCTGAACACTCAGTTTCCCGCTCTTTGTACATGGTGATCTGAAATGTATGTTACGCTGCTGTCAATTTAGCAAAATCCTATTTTGATTCTAAAGTGCGATAATACAGATTACCGTTGAAGCCTGCTTCCATGCTTCCCCCTCTCGCATCAGGTGGCATTTCTGATGACTAATGAGGCCAGCAGTTTTAATTAGCGCCTGAATTCCGTGTAGATATGCATAAAGCGCATTCGAGAGCACAAAATTATGTAAAAAACGTTTCTCGACAGTGGTTAGACCAGCTTTGTCAAGAGACGGACAATCAGTTGCATACATGTTTCGCTAACTTGGGGTAGATAAGTCTACTGGAGAGTACCAGAAAATCAGACGGGGAGCGATGGGAGACCCACTGATAAGCCGAATCCCTTGCAGCTGTGTCATAGAACACCAGAATATTGGAGACACGTGTCTGGGATTTTAGCCAGTGCCTGTGCTGTCAGGTATCAAATATCATGCATATACTACTGGCTACCTGTTGGAAGTTTATGAATATTACGCGGCAATTCAACTGTGGTCGATGGACTTCGGACTAAACATCCATATAAAACTTCAGTCTAGGCCTATAAGCGACAGTGAGACTGACCTACTCCAATTTAACGATTAATTTCCTCGGAAATCAAAAAACCGCATTCATTTGCACGTTTTTGAGAGTCGTAAGTAAAAGTAGACTGCAGTTATTTGAATGTTCATTAAAACATGGTAGTAAAATGACAAATTCCAAAAACTCATTCCTTAGGTGGATTCGGTCCCCCATGGAAATTACATTAGGGTCTCTGCCACTTTTGAAGTATTCCCGAAAGAACACAATATGATCTTCTGTTGTCGCTTTGTCAGTTTGCCCCGTCCATAGAATCGACAATTTATTGGACTTCAACCAGTTGAAGCCGGAGTGATATCCCCCTCAAATCTAACGAGGCAGGTTAAGACGACACCATGTGCACATACTTATAGATTATCCAAACAATGTGTGATGGTGGCAGGAAGTGATGCCTTAACTGACTCTCTACTAACCACATGCTACCTGTTGGTAGTTTATGAATATTACGTGGCAATTCAAATGTGGTTGACGGACTTCGGACCAAACATTCATGTGGAATATCAGTATAGATCTATAAGTCACGGGGAGACTGATCTACTCCAAAATAGCTATTAATTTCCTAGGAAATCAAAAAACCGCACTCATTTTCAGGTCTTTGAGAGTCATCAGTAAAAGTAGACTGCAGCTATTCGAATGTTCATAAAAATATGATAGTAAAATGACAAAATCCAAAATGCATTCCATAAGCGGATGCGGCCCGGCTACCCATTTTTAAAACACACAATTTGCTTCTCTGGTGCTCTCTTCTCATTTTGATCGGCAAGTACTTTCTTGGACTGCAACTAATTAGAGCTGGAGCGATATTCCCCTAAAATCTAACGAGGCAGGTTCAGACGACATCATTTGCACATATTATAGATTATCCAAACAATCTGTGATGGTGGAAGGAAGTGGTGTCTTAAATGACTCTCTACTCGCCGCATTCGCTCAAGAGAATTAGAAAGACAGCATTTGCCATCAGCCGCCCAGAATATTGCTGACGCTCATCCGAGTTGCCTGACTTTATACCAAGAGAGTGAGTAAGGGAATCAAGCGTAGGCACAATCAGAACTGCCGTGAATGGACTGCAATATAAAGTGTATTCTATGATGTCGATAGGGGAGTAGGTTACCATTTTCAGTCAATATACCATCACTCCTACTGAAAAACCTGACGAAATTACAATCACAGATGCCCCAACAGGACAGGTCTTCGGCCTTTCCTGTCGAATAAACTAACTGCACTACAAACCAGTGTTTAACAAATCATCGTTACGACACTAATTTTCGTGTTGCCTGCATTCAGAATGTGATGGCCGGGGACTTGGCAGTGAGTTAGTTCGGAGTGTGCTTATTCAGTGATTGATTGAAGAGAATTGCCTCTTATTTAACCAAATGCACCGTAAATGTGCTAAGATATTCAAACCAAAAAATAAGCAACGCTTGTTAGCTTTAGTGAGTAAACATACCTTCGCGTCATTTGCGGTTGCAGGCACTTTGACAGCACAGCTAACATTTACGGATTTGGCATTAAGTGGAACATAGTGGACAAGCGGCGAAGAATGCCGAGGTGAGAAGGCAAAATCTTTATGGGAGGAAAAAATGCATGTTACCTAATAGGCGGGAGGATTTTAACACAAAGTACAGTATGTGCGGGTGAGCTTCGTTCTTAAGCAGATGCATAAGCACAATTTTGTACATATTTTAATGTTACATCTGAACTAAGCATAATCTCAAAGGGCAGGCATCCATAAATAAATAGTTTTTGCAGCAAATGCTACTTAACAAACAACGACGTGATCAAAGCAAGCACAAGAAAGCGTGCTCTTTCCAGTACGTGCATTGTGGTAGATTAGCTTCCATGGAAGAATACTTTCACCTAATAAATGCCTTTTCCCCCAATTTGAGGGAAGGTATGGGCAAGCGGTCTGTCTGGATATTGAGAATAAACACACTTATTGCACATTTCCCTCCTCTTTAGCTTTGTCCCAGAATACGCATTTACACAATCCTGTGGTTGACTGGTTGGGAGAAACAAGACTTTACTTCCTATACCGGCTCCACATGAAGAAAGCCTACTGACTTCTCACGACAATATGAATGTTATGGACTTTCCTGGCGGTCAGGTATTCAGGGTCAAAATTTCTGAAATGTCTTTGAAATTTCGAAGCAACTATCGGTTAAAGGATGGTCGAACTCAAGGTTTATCCTCTGGGGAGTCCTGCTGACCGGAATATTAAGATTTCCTGAAACATATTTTTTCCGGTCCTATCGCAACCCCTTTCACTCGTTTAGTTGAATGACGCGATGACTTGCCCCCCCAGAACTTAATTATAGTAGGGACTATTCAGGAGCTCATCCATTAATATTAGCCAGTCCGATAGGGTAGGCATGATAGCTGATTACGATCTAGGATCATTCAGCTGCCAATTTTTCAAATCCAGCAGTGCGTTCTGCAAGTTTCGGTAACGGATTTTCAGACATTGATTGTGAAGTCACTGGAAAAATTGACTTTAAAACGATAATTATGGTGAAGTTCTGGCAAGAATAGTTGTACAATTTGAAAGCAACCTGCGCCTTATAAGATAAAGTGTAATATCTCATTATTGGTGGACTCAGTTACTGATGCCGTATTGCCATTCGAGAAGCACAACAAGCTTTCCATGGAAAAAATTAAGTCTAATATTCCAGGTTAATCAAGTTTTCGGTGTTGGTTACGACTCATGGTCAAATAGGCATCATGTATGAACTCAAATAGGTATACGGCAACGGTCGATAAAATATTGCGTTCCTTATCGGGGTCGCGTGCATCGACTCTGTGATCAGCCAACCTATTGTAGGAAGCTAAGTAGAAATACTGAATAACCACCGTTCTAGTTGGAGATTCTGAAGTCACTGCACATAAATTTTGGCAAGCTCATGTGAGGATGCTTCCCGTTGTCAAGGTCACATGACAAGATTTCATATATTGCACATCCATGTCTGCACTTTAAATGGCTTCTTGGTGTTCACTGTGATAAATAATCACTCGACTGTGTATAGGGTAACCATTGCTAATCTATCGTATCCCATCTTAAAGTTGCCTTCTTCGACCCTTAAACCAGCCATCCCATTGTTGGAAGTCAAAAGTGATGTTAGGATGTTTCCTTCTGTCTAGACTGTCTGCATATTCTGCCGAACCCGAAAAAATGTAGCATGTGGCACATCCATATCTCAAGTCAGAAGGGGTTCTTGATGTTCATTGTAGTTAATAAACATTCTAGTCAAAAACGGGCCATCCCACCTCAAGCGGAACACTGAATCGAATTGTAACGTCTTTTATGCAGCATTCGGCAACCATTCTTCGTCTAGTACATAGCAGAATATATTCTGGAAGAGTATTCCGAAAAATAGCTATTATGTGTGTGTGTGTGTGCAAAGGCTTACCTTGGGTCGCATCTTGTGGTGGACGACGGAATACAGTCACGATATCCAACTTCCCTTTGCCACGCATTTCCAGCTCAGATAGCTTGAGAGTATTGGGAGACTCGAAATTAAAGTCCCACAAATAGAAATCCTTAACTGATGACAAAAAACTGAATAAACTCCACGGAAGATGAACTCACTTCTCGTAAGGTTGCATGCTCTTGTCTCATCCGATGCATAGCAGGATCCGTTATTGTAAGTAAAATTCTTCTCGGCTTTGATAAGCTACATATCAACGTAAACGAAAAAGACAAAAGGCAGTGTAACGCCCCTGTACTTGGACAGAGTTGTTCGAATGAGGTGACACTTTTTGCGCGAGGACCTAGGGTGGAGATGGCGTAGTCGCGTGTCGGTGAAGATAACCGGTGTCCCTCCCTCTCTCTTCTGCCGATCCCTTTCCCCCTCGTCGTACCGTAACGCAACGTATCGTCCGAACCGCCCGCCTCCTCGCTACATCGGCACTCCCTCGACCCTTCCCTGCAGTTGCCCCCAGCGCTGCGCTCCCCACCGGTTTACTAGCTGGCATGTTGGCATCGTCTCTCCACCCAGACAGGTCATTCTACCGATGTAACCGTCCTACTTGTACTATTAACGATTATTATACGATTCCCCGTGCAACCTCGTATTATTACACTTTATCTCTTATTCGACATGCCTTCTTCTTCTGTGTATGGATGTGTATCAAGGAATGCTAACAGCTCCGTTCAGGTCTATTCCGGCCAAGAGTCCTTCTCGGCGTTCCCTTACTCCGGTGTGTGCTACCCTTGACGTCCTCGGCCGCTACAGCAGCAAAAACGGCTGTGTAGTCTTACTGTTCTAACAGAAGAATTTTTTGAAACATTCATATTTCTCTCTCCAGTAACTGTCCACTTTGATGAATTCCATCCCAACAGCCTTCTCAACAGACGCGTTTTTTAACTAATCTTATGTAACATGTGTAATCTCCCCAATGTTAGAAAGGTAGTAAATAGGAAACAATAGATTGAGGCTATTGCTTAACGCTGGACTTATTCTGCAGATATGGTAACTAGCCCCTGCAAACAAAGTAGTTGCATGAAAAAGGGAAACTATGACATCGCTTGGAGCGCTATCCTGCGACTTACGATAGGTTCGAATGACAGTCGCGCATGTATGACGACTTTTTCAGCCGATTTAGGAAACGTCCCAAGGTATTTTTTGTTCGCCGTCGATTCTGCAAAAGAAACGTAAAACAGTGCATATGATCTTTCATTTTCAATGGAGAACAAGTAACTTATACGTAGCATGGCAAGACTGTAGCACTCGGTCGGCAGAAGCTCAAAGCTTGCACTGGAATTCGGCGATAGTACAAAAGGTGATAAATGGATGGGACCTTGTTTTATTTAACACTCTATCGTGACAAAAATATTGTTCCCTCTCCTATTACCTCTGATCCCATTTAGTGCGGTTGGGTAACATTACGCTACACTGGGAATCAAAGTTAGAAAAACAAGAGCGAATTATCCGATGTAGCAGTACAAAGAGGGAAATTTGATGTGATTGTCGGATGCAGGTGCTTCCTGCAGAATTTCTTACCTGAGACAACGATGAGGAATAACGCAAACCCCAGGGACACGGGAGGCATGATTCAAGCTAAATTACACTAACATTCAAATCTGCTTATATACTAGATTATGCTATTTCTTTAACCAGTGAGCTGACAAATATCCGCTGACAGAAAGCGATCTGTCTTGCTAATATCAAAACAGCAGGTCGTTTAGGCCAGAAAGCGTCCTTATACCTGAACGGAAATGATTGATGAGAAGAGAAGGTCAATAGACCTACAATGCCAAAGAACTATCGGAGAAGTTTTCTATTGTGTGAGACAACTTAATATGGAAATTTAGGCAACCTTACAAGTAGAAGACTGTAAAAACAGTCCTAATAAAGGAATTTGCGTGGCGATTACTTGAATTCTAAAAGTCCGGCGCGCTATTCGCCCATATACAAGCGACTGCTACAGGTCCATTTTTATTTGCATTTCAATTAAGGTTAGATTTGTATTTGCAAATATCCAAGAAAAACACGGACATCTTCATTCGAACAGATTTACTGCTCCCAACGTCTTAGGAGGAACGCTAAGTTGTTTATTCAGTAGTGAAGGGATGACTGTTACCTAAAGAGCTGGTCAAATAATTGTGGGTAAAATGCTTACATACTTATACCATGTAGGTAGTGCATGACTTCTATGGGGTCTCTGATAAAAAAAACCTGGAAAATCACTTATCTGAAGCCTCAGTAATACTTTTGGGATTCGTCTGGTAACCTTTTAAATAAGATCAGAATATTTGTTGTATTGGGTTTGATTCTCCCCGAGACTACTGATTTTTTATACCCGCTACGAATGCAATTAATATCAGAATATCCTTAAGAAAGAATTCGGTCATCGGAGTGCCTCAAACAGGCGGACGTGCCTTGATTTCGTATGTTTTACTTAGTCAAATTTATAAATTCTTCTCTGGGAAGACATGCCCATCTAACATTCTCCTTATGGCTACCCCATAGTTTGGTCATCTACTCTTCCTTCTCACTACGTCTCCACATCTAATTTCAAAACGCCATTATTGCAGTACTTCCGATGTAGATATCAAATCCTCCCAGTCAAAGTCCACTTAACCTATTGTGTACATGATGGGGGTATAAGTGGGTAAGTCAGTGGAATTGTGCGCATACCAATGATTACTTAACGCGTAGTTTGTCTTTTCTAGAAGGCATCCTTCGTGATTCAACAGCTATAACAATGTATATCTCCAAATACGTTAGCAAACAATCATACATGCAGTTCATGAAGCTACTCCTGCACAATTGGTTTCGGAGGATGGAGATTGTCTCCCACAATGTAACCTAGAAACATGTCTGTTCTACTAACGTAACAAAGTACATTTAAGCGAGTTAACAGCCTTCTTCTAGTCCAACGTGCTCAATGAAGACTTGGATTCGACAACCATACCTGCGTCAAGTCCAGCGTGTTAGCGCAGAAACAGTGAAGACATTTCGTATGGTTTAGCCTTTGAAGTCTATGATTGAATGACTAGTTATGAGTTTCGTCTCAGCACATGCAAGTACAACGGACTGTCGCATTGTACCCGATGTCAGGAGGCTGGTTGCAGGCGGGTAATGTAACGACATGAGTGGGCTGTGCCACATTAATATCACTGTTTAGACGATGGAGAGGCGCCCACACACCGAAGAATCTTTTGAGGAATCTGCCTATCTCGAATCCGGTCGGAAAAGATACCTGCTGAATCAAAACCAGGATGGATCATGTGGATTAGTTAGAGGCAATACTTATAAGCGATTTTACATAAATAATCTTGAAGACCAAGCGGCATTTAATGAAGATTGTTTCCTCCTTTTAACTTAGAAATATAATCGACCGGAGTAAATAGACGACAAGGGGGCATTTGGAGTTCAATCAAACTTTGCCGACGAAAACGTATAAGTTTCCGGATTCTACATACTCAGGCTGTTTTATCAAGCCAAACTGCGCAAACGAGCTACGTACTCGCCAGTAGTCAGCAAAGCCTTTTTCTGCAGTTAGGACCTGTGAACGTTTTAGGCAGTCCGGTGGAAATATCTCCTGGACACTCATAGGCAGCAGTTCACGGGTATTGATAATTGAATGGATAGCGCAAGTATAATGCTCACCGACAGTTTGATCGTCGATCCTGACGATGTCCACGGTGTGCTTCCCAGCGATAAGATGACCAAGTTCCTCGGAAATTTGAACCTCTGAACACTGCCAGATGGACCAACTCATGGCGCTATTTCAGGAGATGTGGCAGCGTGGACAAGTTTCTCAGAACTTCAAGGCCGCAACCCCTGTTCATCTCCACAAACGCAAAGACAACCGGCAAGTCTGCCATCCCACTGTTCAGCATCGCCGGTAAGATCTTCGTCCGCATCAGTCGTCACAGCAGACACCTCAGGCAAGGACTCCTGCCGGAAAGCCAATGTGGTTTCCGACGACACCCTTCTTCTCTAACAGTTCGGCATGCGCCGGCTATGTTAGGATCAGCAAACCATGGCATTCGCAGCCTTCTATGCGCTGACAGTTCCTCGACACCTGGTTCTCCGCCGGTAGATGCGTTTTCGCTCCCGCTGGGTATGCAGGTCGTAAGAATGGCTGTCCATTAATCCTCCTCCTTCCGACCTGTCGTGGTGTTGTTGGTGTTGATTGAAGTCCAGGTCAGCTGTTGTGTGGATCATGGGTGTGTGTGGAGTGGAGCGCCAAGGTGCGGACTCGTCCGTGCCACCCACCTGTGCTTTCTCCGCGTTCGGGCTTCTTGGCTCTGCCTTGACACCGGGCACATGTGGGGGGGAAGGAGCGAGCTCGGTAGACGCTGCGCAATCCTACACACAGTATAAACTAATTCACACGCAATTCACCTTGCTGTGGGGTACATGGAGGTTATCGTCGAATGTGACGGTGTAACTGCCGCCATATGCACAGATATGTGAGAAGGTAAGGCGATCACAGTAACCATTAATTTCTTGGCCTGACGTTTCCAAAGCAAACAAGCTTTCATCATCTGAGGTGGGTTGCGTACAGCACGTCACAGCATTTATTGGTTTTTCTTCGTGCTGGCGTGTCACCGACTTCCAGCGCGTTGCATAGCGGGGTTGGTGACTGTTGTCATGGTGGCATTGACTCCTTCTCATCCTTTGTCGGATGTGTGGAGGGGGACGGCGTCGGCGTGCTCGCGGCCATCGGCTCTTGTTTGCATTGCCCGTTGTTCGCCCTCCACGTATCTCGCTTTCCTGTCCCGTTCACACCTGACAGTATCCGCGTGGACAGTTTTTGTCTCGCCGGCGTTGACGTCGGGCTGGGGGTCCCTGTCACTGTCGCTTGTTCTCGCCTGCGTTCAGACCCAGTAGGCGGTCTCCTGCGTTTGCGTTCGCCGCTGGTTGTTCCCTGTTTTCGTCCGTTTCCGATGCCCGTCTGGGTTTGACTAGCGCCGTCTCTGGCCTGACGTCTCGCCCGTAGTCCTGCTTACTAAACTGCGCCTCTAGGGTTTAGTAGGCTGTCGGCAGAGCTACACGGCGGTCAGTCGAGGTAGTTGTCGTGTGCGAGGTTTCGAGCGTCTCCCTGACCGTTTGGTCGTCCCCTTCGCCCAAGACTTTGGCGTCTTAAAAGGCGAAGGCGTGGCCAGAAGCTGCACAGTGTTTCACCACCAACAAGAGCTGATCAGTTCTTCGTATCACGCTTTCGCGCTCGCACAGGCGGGTCTGCAATCCTTTCCTGTCTCTCCAACGTACTTCGCTTCGCAGGAACTGCACTGGATCCGGTGGATGACGCTGGCCGTTTCATCTCGTGGCAGAGGCGTTTTTGGGCTCATTACTAGATGTCTAATTGTTTATTGAGATATTTGGACGATGCCGATACCTAATGATTGCAAGATACGAGCAAATGCCTTGGAAACGTTCGCAATATATGGCAGCGCACGCCAGACTTTCGTTTTATTCGCCGTTAGCATTATAGCTGGTCTGGACAGTCTTCTGCTTTCTATAAAGCTGCGGGGATAACCGCTGGAAAACAAGATCCGCCGTAGATAGTGGAGTTAGGACACTTTGTCGGCCGTTTCGCTGCAATGGCTGTCAACCCTCTTGCAGAGAGATCGCACACAGTTTCGTTTGTGACACAACGGGTGACTCCTGTGATATGATAGGTCTTTCCGAATGTTGGTGACCTTTCTGTAGATCGTTGTTTTCAGGCCCCCGTTGATCTTGCAATGAACCAGAACGTTTAGGATGACAATCCGATTGTTTTTCTCTGTCTCACTGATGAACTGAATACCAGGAAATAAAGAGTTCAGTAACACCTGGAATTTTGACACTATTTCCCGTTTGAGAACGACGAAAGTATCGTCCACATACCGCGACCAAAACTTTGTCTTGTATGTTGCGAACACCAACGCATCTAACCTTTGAAAAGCCGCCTCAGTGATGAAACCGGATAGCAGTGAGCCCATCGGCGCACCCTTTATTTGCTCGTGACCAGTCCCTTCAATCTTGAAGAACGTTTGGAGGCAGTATTTGAGCGAATGGGATTAGAAGGGCCTAACGTTATTGTAAGCATGCACTTTAATAGATTTTTCTTACAACGCACATATTTCAACAGTACGACGTTCTGATATAAATGTCCTGGCCTAACGAAAATTTAGCTAATGTTAGTACATTTGATGAAGGGATTTTTTCAACTTAATGAAAAATAGCAATTAAAGCACTCCACTATTCACAAGCTATCCACTTTTGATTGTATCCGCATGAAAAACATACCACTTTGATATTTATTAGTTGTTTAGGAGGGGAGAGATCGCGCTTTAGAACAGTATGCAATAATTCGAAATTTCCATGTTTGCCAAAAATTGATGGCAGGTCGCGGTTTATTGAGAAAACACTGATTTTCCGGAAGTTGCAGCTGACTTGGAGCTAAAATTCGAGTCAGTATAAAATCGGATGCGTCCAAGACGTTATCCCTCACCAAATGCTGCACTGAGGCTCAGGGTTCCAGCAACTAGGAATAACTTATGAAGATTTATTGTTCACACTCTTCCCCCACCATTTAATTCTTGGGCGTATCAAAGGAGGAGTTTTCGCATGGCACTTATTACTCACTTGGAAAAGCATCGTTACGAAGGCGTCTTCTGAGTTTGCCGTGTTGTTAGCATGCGTCGTGTAATGCATACTGATGTCACATTTATTCGTTACAACAGGCATTTCTTAAACAATGGTAAAGTGTTGACATCGAGACTATGAAACTCGTGATTCTATGACTTTGGTCAGGTTGGCGTTGGAAGGCAAAACATAAATATCGCTGTCATTTACTTCGCCAAGTTGTTCACGCAATAATATTTCTCATATTCCACTGCGTCATCAGCAAAATATACGTAATCTGCTTATTAAAGAACGTAAAATCAGGACTATCGGAGGATGGATCGGGCAGTGTGTTGAAGCAGCCCTTCTGCCAGTGTCGCATACGCACTATCCATGCTCGATATACCAGGCTTTTACAGAGGTAGCGGTTCGGATCCCATCTGAGTGGGAGTCATTGCCGTCTGACCCTCTATCCTGAGAGAAGGACCGAGTTATCTCTTCATTTGAAAGCCTCTTTGTGCGCACCATCAAAGTTTAAAAGCGCTTCAGATTGTTAACAGTTGGGAAGGTGCACTGAGTGCCGTGGGAGCAAATCCACAGAGTCAACCTCGTTCTCCCTGCTCTCTCTCAAGCACCAGTCCACTTCCCGATCTAGTAAGTCATCTGATGTGAGAATTTGGCGCAAATGGCTGACTGAGATAGAGAGCCAGTCTGCGCGTGCAAAACTCGACCCGGTCACAGCACAATACACCACGTTTTTACACAAATGGCGTAGGCGGCCCGGATATGGCATGCGGGAGCATGCCACGGTGTCCATGCTAAGAGGGAGCCTACAAACACGCTTTACGCTTACGGGAAAGGCGCCTCTTCCATGCCCGTGTTGGGTGAGGTGGGGCGAGTTCGTGTGTGAAGTATGAGCTGGTAGGGAAATGTGTGAGTGCTGAGGCTTGGTACTGGTTCACCGGTCTCGTTGCGATGAGTTCTTAGGTGATCCACCGGGGCTCTGCGGGATGTAAAGGTGTGATGGCAATGAGGACGGGTCGGAATCGAGTCTGCAATGCTGACGGTGGGGGGAGGGAAGAGCTGGTTGTGTCGTGTCAGTTTAGATTGTAGGGAGATTCTGGCTACTATGGCCTTCAGGTCCGGCGATACGGAAAGGTTATATCAAGCCCCCGCGGAACTGCCGAAGCCTTTGCAAAAGCAGTCTTCATCGAAAACCGACAATGCCCGCTTGATAACGTATAGCATTGAAGTTGCGGCCTTAGCCGCCTCACAACACTGCATAGAGGGCTTTAGGCTGTCTGCAACCCAGGCTCCGATATCCTTCCGCGTTTCTGCTTCTCGGAGTGGCATTCCGTTCAGGAGGGTATTGTCGCGCACCAGGGGTCTGATTTCCGCATTGCAGTATGGTACATTTGTTCAAATTGAAGGACAAGAGCCATCTGAGGGACCATTTGTCCAATCGACAAAGATTTTCCTGATAGTTGGTCTCGTCGGCAGCATTCTGGATGGCTTTCCAGATTTTTATGTCATCAGCAAACATGGCACTATCACAGTCCAACCCATCTACACAATCACTGATGAACAAGAGAAAGAAGGTTGGTCCGAGCACTGAGCCCTGTGGACTCTACTCTCTATGAATATGCACATTGATTGCTGCTGTCCTATGCAGACTACTTGGGAACGGCCATCGAGGAAATTCTCGATCCATTTGATAAGTTTGCCGCCGACGCCCATGACTCTCAACTTGTACAGGAGATGCTGGTGCGGAACACTGTCGGACGCCTTCCGGAAACCTATATAGGCCACATGCACGGTATTTTTTGCGTCCAGTGCTCTTGTCAAACTTTGCATTATGTAAAGTAAGTTCGTTGCACATGATCTTCCCCTACGAAAACCGCATTGTGCATTGGAGAAGAGGCTGTTGGTTTCCATATAAGCCATCAACTCCTTTTTTATGGTTTTCTCCATCACTTTGCAGCAGACTGATGTCAAACTAACGAGTCTTTAGTTTGTCGCAAGACCACGACTACCAGTTTTGTTATGGGTTGTATTGTAGATCGTCTTCTAGTCCGTGGGAAGGATTCGAGCATCAAATGACTGCTGGCACAGAAAGGTTAGTGGTCTGTCTGGCTGTCCGGCGAACTCCAAGAGCAGCTTTGCTGAGATCTCGTTCAGACCGGGAGATTTACATTCTTTCCAGTTTCTTAAATCTTCCAAAATCGTTTCTTCTTGAAACACAATATTTTCAATGGTCGGCTCTCCCATGTTCTCAGAACTGGCTGGAATAAAGTCTGCTTCTCTTGTGAACACAGATTGGAAAGGCTGAAAAAATGCACAGGATTTATTTGTACTGTCCGATATCTCCAGCCGTCACAATTCCTCATGACAGGAAGCGGATTCCTGTTACGGGTACTCTTTCGCAAATGGCTGTAGAGCAATTTCGGTTTTTTAACGGCTCAGTGGAGTAAACTATTCTCGAAATCCCGTCGCCTCCTTAAAATCAAGCTCTTCACCTTATTTCTTTGAACTTTATATGCTGTAAACGCTGCGTTGTCGTTGTTTTCGCAAAACTTCTTCCACAGCCTTCCTTTCTTGTTGATCTCCTTCTTGAGGTCTCGCGTTAGCCACTAAGATCGGTTGAGTATCCTAGGCTTTGACGAGAGTCAGTGGCTCCTCATTAGATGCAGCAACCGATCCTTGAATAACTTCCAGTCCTCGTTAACGTTTCCGGATAAGAAAACATCCCAGTCTATTTGTAATGCCTGAGTTTTGCAAAATGAGCACTGAGACATCAAAAATAGACTAGTATGTTCTTTTATCCGGAAATGTTAACGAGGATTGGAATTTATTCAAGGATCGGTTGCTGCATCTAATGAGGAGCCACTGACTCTCGTCAAAGCCTAGGATACTCAACCGATCTTAGTGGCTAACGCGAGACCTCAAGAAGGAGATCAACAAGAAAGGAAGGCTGTGGAAGAAGTTTTGCGAAAACAACGACAACGCAGCGTTTACAGCATATAAAGTTCAAAGAAATAAGGTGAAGAGCTTGATTTTAAGGAGGCGACGGGATTTCGAGAATAGTTTACTCCATTGAGCCGTTAAAAATCCGAAATTGTTTTAGTTTTATCAAGGGAAATATTGGCGAACGACTTTGAACTCCCTATTTGTGACAGATGGTCTGAGAAAAGCATCGATTAGTGGAAATTTGAAAAAGAGAGTTTGCACATAATTGCATACGAAAGGCAGGCAGCTGTCATCCAAATGAAAAAGGCAAACCTGGACGGTTAACCACCCATTGTGAGTAGCATAAATATGTATAAGTTGGGTAAGGAGTTATGCGAGAGAATGTGTGAATGGTAATTGGGAAGCTTGATACGCGTCCAGTGTAGGCTTAAAAGAATCCACACAGGAGGAGAGTAAAAACTAAGTGGGCCGGGAATTCCACGCTGCAACCACTCCGTTACTGAAAAAGGACTTTCAGCCATTGATCCTTGCTTTATCTTTGCGTAGTTTTAGGTGATGACCGCGAAGAGTGAGCGTGTTGGTTTGAGTGAAATAATCATCTCGTGCTAAGCAACCGTTTAGGCCGTCTATAATGCGGAACGTTAGTATAAGATTACCGCGAAGTTGCCTGCAGGAACGGGAAAACAGGTTGAGAGTTGACAGTTTGGTTTAATAGGGCAGTGCACCCAGACTTTTTGTCATTTTTGTCGTCTGTGTATGAACCTTCTCTAAGACGGTGCAGTCCTCGACAGCCCAAGGTCTCCATGCCTGTATTGTGTATGCTTGATGAGGCCGCAAGAGGGTGCCAAATATTTTGGAAAGGCTGTCCTTGTCAAATCCCATAAGGGTTCACCTATTAAGATGCAATGTAGCCATGACCGACTTAGTTGCCTTCGCGCAGTTCAATGTTGGTTCAGTTGAGGAAGTAATTCGCACACCCAAGTCCTTCTAACTATCAAATTGTTGAAGTTGTGTACCGTGAAGAAAGTAAGTCCTGGGGCTGGAGGCTCTGCAGCTGCCGAGTTTAAGAAAGTCACACTTATTTGCATCGAGTAGTATAAGTCAGCGCTTCGACCAGTCCTCGAGCCGGGTCAGGTTTGTTTGCAGGTAGTCAATGGCGTTCTCAACTCCTGAACTATTTTGAACCCAGCCTGCAGTTGCACTTGCGAGCAGAGTTTAAAAACTACACTCTTCATGCTCTTCGTATTTGAAAAATCATGCATTCCACAATGCCATTAGAAAAGGTCATGCAGCTAAAAAATCTTGCAATGGACGTGGATCGTGTTGGCTGCCTCATAGACAACATTCACATGTTTGCAAATATGCTGGTGTGTGAATGGACATTTCGGGGTTTCAAAAAGTCTCATAATTGCGACTTTTTAAAATGTGAAAATGTCGAATCTCCCAGTATAAGATTCGAAGATGACGTAGCCTGTTACCCAAAATCTATAAAATATCATTGAAGTTATTCGAAGAAAAATGAGTTCTTTGGGAAAGTGAACAAATTTCATTTCGTAAATTTTCGACGTCATCAGACGTGTAGGCAGTGTGAAAAGCAGTTTAAATTTGAACGTGTCAGAGAAAACTGATATTGCTTTGTCATTACTGACGGTGGGTCAATCCTGTGGCTAACGTCACTTTTTGACTGGCTATCACCTTTTCCATTTTCCTTGAGATTTATGTATATGGCGTCCAGATCTATGAACCGATTGACGAAGTAATCATCAGAGTAAATGGCCTCTAGAAGTCCCCGGCCTTTCTTATATGGGCAGGAACCGTCAGTGTGTGTTTTATCCCAGGCAAATTTGTGCCTAGTTTCAAGAGTAAGCATGGCGACTTGGGATAAGTTGTCCCGCCTCTTCACCGCCAACTGGTGTTTATGTAGGCGTGTGGAGGCGAATTTTCCGGTTTGACCGCAATATACTGCATTACAAGTGCTATATGTAATCTCATAGACTATTTATTTTTTATTCAAGTAGCCAACCCTATCCTTAATGTGAACAAGCTGATTACGTAGCGTAGTCGTAGGTTTGTGCGCCAGGTGTCTTTCAACGAGTTCAGACACATTTTTAATGTAGGAAAACGTTCACCAATTTTTGCTTTTGATGTTGGCGCCTGATCGGAACAATCTCGTTCCTTATCTCTTTCCTTTTATTTCTGCTTTCTCATGCATCGTCGTACAAAATCTCTAGGGTGGCCGTTTTGGGAAAATAGATTGAACAAATAATTGAGTTCTAATTTGTACGATTCGTTCTCAGAGCAGTGTGTCTTTGCTCTATAAAGTAGGGTGTTAACAGCACTCCGTTTGTGAGCGATAGGGTGCTTGCTGTCGTAATGTAGGATAACTTCCGCATAAGCTTCTTTGCAGTATGTGTGGAATGTTATGTCAGTTTTTCGCTGTACGAGGACATCAGAAAATGGGAGTTTGCTCGCAACTTCTCTTCCGAGCGTGAAAGTGATTCCCGGTAGTGTTGAGTTGATAACGTTATGCAGACTTTTCAGCTGATCTCTCTTGACGATGACAAGGGTATCATCTACGAAGCGTACCCATAATTTGAGATCAAATAACGTTACGGTCACCGCCTCTAATTGTTGCATTGTGACCTCAGTCAGAAAGCCAGAAATAGGTGACCCTGGATGAGCTCCCTTCAGCTGTCGATAATATTCAAGTGCAAACGAGATGTTTTTTTCCAGACGTAAGTGCAAGAGGTCGAACAAAGCAGATCCAGTAACATCGATGTCGTAGGATTGTATTGCTAAATCGAGTGGTATGGACGTGAATAGGGAGACAACATCGAACGACACCATTATCTCATCCGTACCAGTGGTGAGTCCTCGTATTTCGTCCAGAAATTCAATAGAATTCTCGATTGAATTCTCACAATCATTTGTAAAGAGATGCAGTTTGTGGAATAGCCATTTAGAAGTCCTATAATTCGATGCACCGATTAATGATAATATCGGTCGCAGTGGCTCGGCGGGTCTGTGAATATTCGGTAGTCAATAAATTTTGACAATTGTCGGCTCAGTTTGTCTCGGTGATTTCGCAATTTATCCTGGTACATAGTTGTTTTTTCCTGCAAGACATTTCAGTACTTTATTGATGGATGAAATCTGGGCTTTGGTGCAGTCCATGGTGAGGGGCATATATAAGTTAATCTATATTTTAACAATGGTGGCGTGTTACTATCGTAGTCTGCTTTGTTTAAAGATGCGGTTGAGGCATTCGGTATGTCCACTAGTCTTCCGAACATAGAGAACTGGATTGTCTGTCTGTGTGGTCGTGATAAGTGCTCAGCCCGAAGGCAGAAATTTAGCAAACGATTGATCTGGGACGACGGATCCTGAGTCAATGGAGGATTTAGTCGTCTGTCCAACAAAGATCCGCTAACCGAAAATGTTTAATAACCTGAAGACGGTTGTGTGCCAACCTACTGAAATACTCGATGATTGTGACGAGTCGGATGAGAGAATTTATTGCCTCAATGAGCAGCGTTGACGGACGACAGAAGGACCGCATATTCCATGTCTGTAGGCTCGCCGGCGATTGCTAATTTGTCGTATCATCCGGGTCACGAAATCGCTTTCAGTGGGGGCTGGAATCGATGAGGGGTGTCATCGCTGGACAATGCGCCAAGCACCATTGTAATCTACGGTCCTGTTGGATAGAATCTATAGTCAAACTTGACGAACGTGGCGGGTCGTCACCCTATTGCCCACTGAACATGTTGATTCAAATTTAGTAGAGAGAGAGTGAGAGAGGGATGGTGTAGAGAGACTTGTGAGGAGGAGGAGGAGGAGGAGGAGGGGGAGAAGAAGAAGAAGAAGAAGAAGAAGAAGAAGAAGAAGAAGAAGAAGAAGGAAGAGAAGGGGGAGGAGGAGGACTCGGCGGCTGCGGCAGTCAGTGCTACACAAGTCTCATTTCGTCAGCTACAAACCACCACTGTTCCTCGGGGGTAACGATCTCTCTCTTCGAGACGGCTTCAAGCACTATCTTCCAATGCAGATCCGGCCAATCTTACTCAGGACTCTCCCGGGGAACTCTGAACGTACCTGCGTCTGTGCCACCACTTACCAAAACCAACAATGACCACCAAGGGCATCTTTACTGGCAAATGCTGTGGCTGTCGATGGCAGGCATGGAATCAGCATCCTCAGGAAATGTACTCTATTTTCAACTGTGATCGACATGAAAGGGCAAAGATCAGGTGAAATGCATGTGCATGCATAGTGAGCATTGTAATGACTGTCGTGGGCCTATCCGTTGTAGTTTGACCCACAAGACGAAGCCCTTCAGCTGGGTGATGCAATCCTCAACTGCATCATTAGCCTTTGAATAAGTTTCATAACTCAAAAATATGACATAGTAAATGACTACCAACGCCAACCTGACCAGAGTTATAGAAACACGAGATTCATAGTCTCGATGACACGACTTGACCATTGTTCAAGAAATACCTGTTGCAGCGAATAAATGTGACATCAAAATGCACTGCGCATGCTAACAATGCGGAAAACTCAGTAGGCATCTTCGTGAGTTTAAAGTCAACAATAAGTGAAAAGTCAATTTGGCAAACACGCGTTTTCGGTAATTCTTCTTCACGCCAATACAATTACATGAAGGAATGAAAATGTACAAAATCAACAGTGTTTATAGATGCCTCAAGGGCTATTAAGTCACTAACACTCATCATCCCCACGTCGCCCGCATGAGGTCGGCGGGTGTTAGTCGTCAGAGCTAGGGGAGGGGGGGTAAGAGAGTCTTTGAGTGATGCTCTTGGGTTGAGTACACGGAGTACCCATCATCGTGATTAGGGATTTGAGGCGGCATGGCTTCATCACTTGGGGTTGGCGTTGGCCACGGCAGCGAAAGCGCTTGTGTCAGAGTTTTCTGACAGCATAACACGGGATTCGCTAACCGTATAGCTACTGCCTCGGCCGTTGCTAGTATCCGTTGGCGTAGGCCTTTAGAGAAGCATGTTGGTGTCCGGTAGACAACCTGAAATGCTTTCTTGGCATCGACTCCCCTCCCCTAGCTCTGACGACTAACACCCGCCGACCTCATGCGGGCGACGTGGGGATGATGAGTGTTAGTGACTTAATAGCCCTTGAGGCATCTATAAACACTGTTGATTTTGTACATTTTCATTCCTTCATGTAATTGTATTGGCCTGAGGAAGAATTACCGAAAACGCGTGTTTGCCAAATTGACTTTTCAATTGTAACATGGGAATATTTGCGGAGCTTCAACAATAAGTGCCATGTGAAAACTCCTATGACACAGTCAAGAATTCGATATTTGGAGAATAGAATTGGCAATGAATGGTTATAATTTAATCCTAGTTGTTGGAATCCTGAACCCCAGTGCAGCATTGGATGAGGGATAACGTCTTGGGCACATCTGAATCTTGTACTGACTCGAATTTTAGCTTCAAGTTGAGTAAAACTGCCGGTAAAGCATTATTTGAAGCAGGACGTCCAGTAGACCGCTGCTCTCGTTAGCATATCCATTAGTCAAGAGTGCGGGACCTCCCACCTTCTCATTTTCGACGACAGATTATATCGGTTTGAAAAGCACCTGGTACGTACAGCTTGTACAAGCAAAGCCTACGCAGACAGCAGATCACTTGTGAAGCTGCATAGATGGTCATAGTGAGGAACAAAAAATCACTCAAACCTGGTTTCCTGAAAGAAAATTTGGACAAAATATTGTCGGGAGAGTCGGTGGCCAACACTGCGCAGCACTGAGTGCGCAGATTATATTCACATTAGTCAAGAGTAGGTGGGGAGCTGCTGCATTCTCATTTCCGACAGTGAATGACACTGACACGCAGAGTAGTCAGTTTAGTTAGTAAAACATACGACATGTACGACTGATATGAGCAAAACCCTTTCAAATGGCAGTTCGCTTGTGAAGCTGCACGGATGACATAATCCAACACCGAAAATCGTTGATACCCATTTCTTGAAAGGAAATACGGCCAAATGTTGTCGAGAGAGTCGGTGGCCAACACTGCATTGCTCTGAGTGTGCAGAGTTTATATACATATATCTTGAAGAGGGCTAGCGTTGCACAGGAGGATCAGTGGCGGTTTGTGTTAGAGGGACGGAGACTTGTACAGCATCGACTACAATTTCATTACGTCCTCTCTATCATCAATCGCTCCCACATTTCAGCCCAGAGTACTATTCACTGCGGCGATAGATTGAGGCCGCCAGTTACGGAACAAGACTCGCAACTCCATGCTATGGATATGAGACAAAAATTTCACTGCTAGAGGAAAAGGAGTAATGGGGAAAACGTACTTGCTTGAGCCTAAGACACGGAATCCCCCCGCCCTACCGGAGGCGTATTCGTGAACTACTAAATAATACCCAACCCGACAAAAACAATGGGTATGCGATTGCTAGACATGACAGTCAAAAGGCTTCCCAGCGAAAAATGTGACAGTTATCGCCCGTCATAAAAAATAATGTTTTCTCCCTATGGTGTGTTCGATGACTGATTTCCAAGTCCAGCACGCAAGACGACGCCCTCTAATGCGAACTTCTTCTCTAATTGACAGGCCAGGGGACAAGGAATGAATAGTAAGATTGGAGGTGGGGGAGAAATATGGACTGGGTAACTTTGGTCAGAGTTTATTTCGTTGTATGCATGGATTTATCAGTTTTGGAATAGAGCATACTCGATCATATCTAAATGCTAACCAACCATTCACGTTTACTTTATAACATTTGCCTAGCCTGAGAGCCAAAAATTAGCAAAAATTCGGCCTGAGACAATGAATAGCTAATCATTGGAGGCTTTATCCTTCTCTCTGATAAAGATTCGCTCACGGGAAAGGTTTAGTAACTTGAAGACGGTCGGGTATCAGCCAATGAGAATACTTGTGCATGGGACGAATCGGCTAGGTGGATTTTGTCCATTAATGTGTAATGTCGGGAGAAGAATGGGAGAATCACAAATTCCACGTCCGTACGTTCGCCTGCGCTTGCTTATTCGTCTTATCCTCTAGGTCTCCTAGTCGCTTTCAGCGGAGGCTGAAAGGGGTGGGGGGTGTTGCCGCTGGACAATGCACCAAGCACCACTGTAATCCATAGTCCTTAATCAGAGGAATTCATGCTACTTAAGTAGCCATTTTTAGAGTGTAGTTTTTCAGGCGGCGAAAAGGAAGTTCGTTCAAATGCCGGTATCCTGAAGCGACAGAATCCTTATGGAGTTATGCTGCATATGGTTAATATTAGAACACTGTTTAAGTAATCTTTTCGGTCAACAACGCACTTAAAAATTTCGGTTAGCATTTCATGAGCAAGCACACCTACTGTAAGTGTGTGATAACAAAAGTTGACTGAGGTTTGGCTTTTCATACTGGTTGGGCGTAGAAGTAGGGGAGTTGTGAGGGCAACAAGTGGCAGTGAGTTGGAAGGCTGAGAGAGTTAGGCAGAGCCGTGCCAGGGGGAGAGGTTTGAGGGCGTGGAGAAGAGTATGCATTTGACCGGCCCATGGCCACTGTAAACGTGTGAACGTGGTTTGTGCGTGCACACAAAACCAGCTTTCGTAACCTGATAAAAGTCGTTTTTGTTGTTCGATCGTCGTAGTCGACGCTTTCCTTCGCGTAGCCCAAAACACAGTAGACGCAGGGACGACGAATATCGCGTGAATTAGTTTGTAGACATAGTCAACCTGCGTGTCATCTACGGCTCTCTCACCACCTTCATCTGCCTGAGCTCGGTGTCAAGACAGAATCAAGAAGACTGGAGGCGGGAGAGGGCGCAGGCGGCTGGTGCAGAGTGAGCCTGTCCCCAGGATTGCGACAACACGCCCCCTGGTGGCATTCGTTATAGGCGCGCATCCCCAGTAATGTCCGCTGTGTCGATTTGGCTCCCGAGTTGGTCAAGTGGCCCTACCAATTGACCCTTTATAGGGGGTGGGTGTTAGAGTAGTTCGATTGTACCTTGTAGATCATACAAAAGGCTTCGTTGGGGTCCACACGATAATTGGAATTGCAGTGGCCCTACTTCGAGCGCTTGTTTCAACGCTGGGCTTCTCATGAGTGTCCGCACGAGCTCACCAGTGCTCTCTGGCGTCCGCCACTCGTCTTTCTAACTGGCCAATCAGATTCAAGTCCGAGTCAGATGAGCCCATACTTAAGACGCTTTGACACACTTCCTGACTCAAATTTGGGACACCACCCATCCTCCCGCGGGGGCGCTCCCCTATGGCTGGCCAGCTCCTTCCAATCTCTTTACCGGTAGTTCTGTGCGGGATATACAATCTTTCCAACTGGCGTCTACCTTCTCTTTCCATTCTGAACCGGGTCTGAGGATCGTGGTGGCTAGGCTTTAGGCTTCTGCGACGGAATCATGCCGAGGATAGCGTTGTCTATGGTCTTAATATCGCCTTTTTTCAGCAATTATCGTATTCCTTCCTGAGTGGTGCCGATTCGTGTGACCTGAGCGCGTCACTTTCAAAAAAGAGGGCAAATGTGTGGTTCTTATGGTCGGGGTTACTTAATTCGGGAACAACAGCGCTAAAAGGAAATAACTGGCGATATTTATTTGTAAGTACCAGAGAAGGAAATAAAAAGGCCTCGCGGTGGCTGTTATGTGAGGGTGGTCAAGAGGCTTTAGAGTAGTCATCGGAGTAAAAATGTGACAAAGCAATACCTTTTTGACAATTCCTGTAAAGGGGCAGTAAATCCATCTACTATTATCATTAAGTGGTAGAAATAATGCCCTCCTTTATTTGGCGGTAATATTGAAGATTGAAAATTGTGATACCACAAAGTTCTTAGATATTCGACTCTTTTGCTCACCACAAATGCTCCCCAAATTAAGTAACCCCGGCCATAAACCATGCCCATGCCAAAAAAGCCTTACTGCTAGCCGATTCCCCTCCCGACCATCTTTTTGCTTTCAAACGGAGCAAATTATATAGAATTGGCAGCGAATGGGCAGTG